ATTTTATTTAATTAGATTTGATTTAAAATGTAAGTTAATTGAAAAAGTAATTTAAAGTCATTTTTGTAATTATTCTTATTGTTAGTAGGTAGTCTTGTGTGTTACATGAGGACACCAAGACATTTTACATTCATGAACGGCTAGCTCTTTTTCACTGCTTAATGAGGCACCAGGAGTTTAAACATCTTAAGCTCTGTGAGTCTGAGTGAAATGCTAATTTGTAGTGAGCTGAACTGAAGAAGAATATTTGCCTTTGCTGTAAGATTGCATAGAAATGGACTCCATTCTTCACTTCACTTCATTTTTCATGGAGTTTAATGCTCATGCATGTCCTAAGGCACAGTGTCTGTGTGCGCATAAATGGGTTAGGTGTTCATAGAGTGCTGTTGAGTGAGTGTCTATCTGTCCTCCCACACTGTGGAGAACTGAGAGAGATTCTGCCTGCCCTTCGGTCTTTTTCACCTCATTTTACATCACACCAGGGTCCAAATGTGCTCTTTCTCACACATACTGTACACACAACGGCGAACAAAAGCAAAGCATTGTGCCTTGAGGGTTTATGTTTGTTTGTAAAGTTGTAAAAAACAAAACAAATTATGGATAAATCTAATGTGGCAAAACTGTAGCAAATACAATCCATTCCTCTAGTGGGCAGTATAGAGTGTATTTATGTCTAATTGCACCATTCACTTCCCATAAATGTTTTATTAAATCCTAAGCACCCTGCATGCAAATATGACAATATGTTAACAGGACTAGGAACAATCAGTGGTTTTTGGAAATCTTGCTATAGCTAATTGTTTCAAGTCTCATTTGTATTAAAATTGGGTCTGTGTACACTTTGCACTTACCCTGCCGACTATAAGATCATCATGATCAATATTACCCACAATCATCTGCTGTTTATGCAGTCAGTAATTGGATACACAATATACCCAGTGGTCCCTGTTGATTTGGGAATGCAGAAAAGTCAATAGTGCCTCAGCATTTGGGATCACACCAGGAGTTTTTAATTATTCAAGCTTGAAAATATACTCCGTAATCTCATTAGTTTAGTCAAGCAGTGAGGTATGTGTGTCTGGAAATAAATAGGCTTTTCAGACACCAGGGGTACTGACGGCATCCAGGGTTATGTAATGGTGTCCCTCTAAGGGTTATTAGAAATGCCGGTGCAGGTGAAATTGCCATACATATAGTTCATTGACATACATATAAACAAGATGTCATCGTATTGTATTGGTCAAGTAACAGTGTTAAAAAAATATCTGCTGTCATTTACTCTAGTATAACCTTTCATTTCATGCATCAAACCTGATATGCTACATGAGTGATACATGATTGCATGGGTTCTACATTCACTTTCCTTAAATGCACAAGAAAGAGGGCAGGTTATCCCTGGCCTTGCTGTCATTTTAGACTTATGTCACATTCACATTCTGTTAGTTGTTGTGTCTCTGTGCAAGGTCTTGGCTTGACTGCATGGCTGTAACAACCTTGAGAAAGAAATTGCCTGGGATTCCTAATCCATTCTCAAAAATGAGATCAAGGTGACTACAACCAAAGATGCTAGCGACAGAGTAGAAAAGAAATTGTCATTTGTGTGTTTTAAGCATCCATAGTCAGTGATTTCTTGTGCAAATGCATTGCTCTAAAAGTATTTGGACACTTAAGTCACACTTACGTATACATTTTATTATAGTTTATATATTTTTTAACACAAAGGAATACCACATTAACTATGTGATTTAACACATTCCAATTTTACAGACAAAACATGCGCAAATAACACTACTGTTTAAAAGTTTGAGGTTAAATGTTTTTACAAGTCTTGTATGCCCACAGTTTAATCAGTTTATTTGATCAAAAACACAGTAATATTTTGAAATGTTATTACAATTTAAAATAATCGTTTTATGTTTTAATATATGTTAAACTATAATTTATTCCTGTGATGGCAAAGCTGAATTTTTAGCTGTCATTACTCCAGTCTTCAGTGTCACATTATCCTTCAGAAATCATTGTAATATGCTGATTTGGTGCTAAAGAAAAAATACCTATTATCAGTGATGACAACAGTTGCTTAATATTTTTGTGGAGATGCCCTAATTTTTAGGATTCTTTGAACAGCAAGTTAAAAAAAACCAGCATTAATTTGAAAATTATTATTATTATTTTTTGTAATAGTGTAAAAACCTTACCTTTCTCAGTGTGAAAGATCCATTCTGAATTAAACTATTAATTTCTTTAAAAAAGGGCAAACTTTTGAATCCAAGTGTATATTTTGTCAGAATTATTCAAAAGTTTGCACTTTGATTTATCTTTTAAAACTGAGGAAAATATTTCTGTGATTTACTGAAAAAAAAAAAAAACTTTCTTTAAAATAAATTCCACTTGCAACAACATTGTTTTAGTGTGGTTACAAAATACTTATCGGAAACACTGTACATTTGCCAAAGTATAATCATTATAGACCCAAAAAAGCTCCATGGCAAATAAATGGCTTTTCCTGTGGGAAAATTTCTGTAAACTTGCCTTCTTTTAATTTCTTCTACATCTTTCCCATAAGTCCATTTTTGAACATGCATTTTCGACCAATCAGAACTCAAGCTTAAGTTTTTATTCTCCAGTGAAAAAAAGTCTTTCCCCAATCACATTAGCAGAGAGGTCAAATATGTCAGTGCTGTTGAGGTCAGGGAGAGGACAGAGGGATCTCGTCATACGGTGTTGCCATGTCTCTGATGCCATCTCTATTGCTTGCATAGTAATTATCACCATTGTCGTACAGGTTCTGATGCAAATCAAACACTATTGTAGAATGTCTTTCAGTGGTTGGCAGAGAATCACCACCCCCACACAACTCAAAAGAAGTCCTCTAACTCACGTACACCTGGACGCTCAGCTACTGATTGAGTATTTATGGTGTGAAATGGTCTGTGGAGTGCAGGTATGTTTAACTGAATTTTTGAATACAGTGGTCCACAGCATGAGTGGTTAATTGCGCCTCTCTTCAAATATGTCCTGCTATTACCATGTATCACATGCAGAAACATTGGAGCCACCAGCCAACGCTCATATGTGAGTGCCAAAATGGCTCAAAAAGGTGTTGTATAGCCCAAAGAACAATCCAGAAAAAAACTGGGACACAGTTGAGGTTGTTGGTCTGTGCAGTAATTGTTCTGTGATTCGTGGGGGCGGCAATAATTGGATCTGAGAAATTAGATGCGCTGTGATGGTACTCGTTCACATGTTAATCGCAATAAGTTTTTAGCAGTTAACACGCTTGATCTTGAAGAAGAACAAGAGGGCGAGAAACCGAGAGACAGTTTGAAGCTTAGCTGACTACTATTACAGAGCAATAAAACAGATGTAACTGCTGCTACTGTGAAAAAAATTAGCCTTTTGTGGAAACATTTTGATAGAAACTATTCCACTCGCTGTGGTTTCCATAGACACGGCCGGGTACTGTGTTTATAGGTGTAATCTTGTAGAGCTTCCTGGTTTAATGAGCAACTTTGGGCGAATGGTAAGAGTCATAAAATTTTCACTGCTCCATTGATCAGTATTGATTTGAGACCCACAGTTATAGCGGAAAGATTTAATGGCAAGCATGTGAAACCAACACTGCACTAAGTGTGAGTGTGATCTCATATCGATCAGTAAAATTTACTGATAAGAGGTGGAAAAGGGCTGAAGATTGCAGTTGAAAGCATTTTGGCAGGGGGTACTTGACTGGTTAAAGGCATCCAGGTTTTCTTTTTTTTGCCTTCAGTCTCATTTCCTTTTACACTGTCAGGATGCTAACAAGCTCAGCAGTAACATTCAACTTTATAAGGGAAACATTGTCCCCAAAGAACTTTAGGTAATGCTAAGAATACTGTACAGGTACTGGGGAGTCATATATCAGAGTGATTCCAGATCGGGAGCTTCAATTAGCACTCCAGCACTGAAGCAGAGGTCAATTGATTTGTAATGGATTTAAATAAGGTCAGAATAGTGTCAACTGACTCAAAGTAGCTAATATACTAATTGATAACAGAGACTGTCATGTCTCCTTTCATTTGTCTCAAATGTGTATGTTGGCTGTTTGTTTGATTATATATGTGTGTGCAGGTCTGTAGGTTTGTGTTGTGCTGAATATACCCCCTTTACACAAATATCTACATAACACCAAATAAATCAGACGTTGAAGCGATACATTTATTGTTTTAAGGTTAGTCACATTGAAAAACAGTGCGGGTCCACTTTATTTTACAGTACATGTACTAAGAAAGTACTGGTAAATATACGGTAACTACATGGGTTAGGATTAGGTTTAAGGTTAAGTTCAGGGTTATTACCTAGTTATTACACAGCTATTATATTATAATTACTATAAGAAGTATATAGTATGCACATGCGGAACATGACTGTAAAATAAAGTGCTGCCAACATTGTTTCGATTTAATACAACTCTTCAATTACCTTTATACCTCATTCCTTGCATAATAGGAACTTTGCAACTGTTTAAAAAAAGTATGTTCTATAAAAGTATGAATGTGTGTAGTACGAATACTACCTGAATTTATTACATTTACCAGCTGACATTGTCAGGTGACCTTCAATATTATTCGTATCATGCCATTTACATTCCACACCTCCCCCCACCCCCCTGTGTAAATCATATGTGCACTTTCTACATATAGAATGGAAGTAGATGTATTTGGATGTAGGGAATACTTATTTTTATAAACAATACATTTCCTAAACAAACCTCCCATCTGCAGTTGGTTGAACAAACAGATAATTCTGCCTTAAACTGACAATATTTGTTGAGTCAGTGTTGCTGGTTGGGATATTCAAACAAACAGACCAATGTTTTGATAGTGCCACAATGCTACACTTTGTGTTGTAATTAGGGTTGGTTATTGTTTGGGTTTTTTGATACCAATGCCAAATCGATTCACAAAAAAAAAAAAAAAAAAACAGATCTAAAGAGAAAAGAGAGTAAACAGAGAAAGAAAAAGCAGGACAGAAACTCAAATTATTATCAGCTGAAAGAAGCGAATGAATGTGTGTGAGAGAGAGTGTAAGAAAAGAGGAAGACCTCGAAGAGATGAGAGAAGTGTCAGCAGAGCTGTGGATTTATGCTGTCCGGTCTTGACATCCCTCCCTCCTTTCCTCCTCCTCTCCTCCCCCCCTTCAGCAGGCGGGCTTTTTGTGGCTGACCATGCGAGGATCCTCTCAGTGCTGCGGGAATCTCCTCTCCTCCTCCGGACAGTTCTGCAGCTCTCGTTCTGTGGCTCATTGACCCCGACGCATCCTTAACAGTTGTATTTTTCACAAGGGAACGTCTTGGACAAGGAGCAACGCAACTTTTGGACTGTGTAGATGTCTCCTTTTTCCTTGTGCTCAATAATTGATGCAGTTTCTCTGCTGCTGCTTTGACCGTATCCACAGGACGGGATCAGGGAGGAAGGTCGGGACTGTGACCCCCGCATCATCCCTCAGTGTGTCCTTTCTGTGTTGTAGACTGCATCTTCTTCATCCTCCTCATCCAGCATGCAGGTCTCAATCGCTTGCACAGACCACAATCTGAAGGGTCGAAATGGGGACCATGGAAAAACGAACGCCACCAGCCCCAACGTGGTGAATGCGGCACGGGCAAAGTTCCGCACGGTCGCCATCATCGCCCGGAGCTTTGGCTCTTTTACCCCACGCCACCACATCTCCCTCAAAGAGTCCACCGGCAAGCTCACCGGCATGAAGTACCGGTATGTCTCACTCTCCCTCCTTAACCACTTTCCTTCATTTCCATTTCTTCCTTCCAGGGATCCCTTCACCTGTGGCTTTTTCTCTTGTTGGAATGGTGAATGGAGAATTGGATCCTCTCAAACTCTTTTGAGATCAGTTTTAAGAAGATCAGTAGTAATTGTTTAAGGGTTTGGTATGAATTGTGGTGGTCCAGGTGATATATTTGTCACTGTCCATCACTTAAAGGATGTTACTATTCATCATAGATAGAGTGTTTCATCAGTGTGAAATATGGGTTTGACCCCACTCTTGATCTCCTTGCTCTGTTCATCTTTGTTAGCTGAGCTCGCTCTGTTAGCTCTGAGTTCCTCGGGACAAACAAACCATAATTATTTGCTATTCCATATTTACACTCTAGGAAGCACAGTTCTTAGATTGATGCTTCATTACGTGCTGGGAATATCCAGACAGTTGATTCTTTGGAGTGTTTCTCCTCTCCCTGTTCTAGTAGAGCATAATTGTAGGTGTTTTTTCTTTGATTATCCGTGATCATTTTCTATTTGTGATGTTGCTTGATTTGATGCAATATTTTCAGTGATTTCAGGGTATTTTCTACCTACTCTGCTGCACATGTTCTGGATTCTGGTGGGATGTGCTGTGCCTGTGTGCGAGTGTGTGCAGGTGCCAGTGGTTTCTGAGCCTAATTGCAGAATAAACGTTTCTAAATGCAAATGTTGTGTGGACCACATTAGTGTCTTTCACCTGATGTCCTGAATCAGCACATCACACACAGAACCTTAAAGCAGTGATCACGCTAGGCTTTACGTTTACCAAATTACTTCGTTAACCTGAAATGATGATGGCTCTAAGGCTTCTGTTTTTAATAATTTACAAATAACAATAATAATAAATGTACTATGTACTTCATGTTCCTGCAACATAGCAAACACTGCAGCTTTGATGCTTGGACTTTTGCACAAAGTCAAGAGGTTAATTTGTGCTTTTTTAGATCTATTGGTCATCTTTATGCTACACTCTTGACCTCTAGGGTTAATTGTACCGTCTTGTCACTTGTCTTATTGTATGAATCTGAGATGACATGCTTTCTCTGGAAATAAGTTCAAACAGCCATTGAACATCTTTTTTTTTTTTCGCAGATGTACCAAATGTGAACAAGTGTATGTATGTGTGTGTGTGTGTGTGTGTGTGTGTGGTGAGTTTGGTGGTGTGTATCTGACAGTATACAGGCTGTAATGTCTTCTCTTTTGTTCCTTCTTCTGATCCTCTACAGTCACTCCTCAGGGATTTCTAACCTCAGACCAGCCCTGTCATTTGTAGAGATGGATATTTTGGTCATGTTGTCTGCTTGAGTACTCAATAGATAAATGAACCAAGTACTTTGGGGGTGGTGGGTCCATCTACGCCATTATTTAATCTGCTGGGCTCCAACACGGTTAATTTAACTTTTAACACGTTACGTGAATCGTGACTATTCACAAGCCACCCAATAATCACAGCTTTGTACTTTGTTACTACAAAGTCTCAGCCTTCTGTCAATTTTATAATAAAATACAAACAATAAACGTCTTTTTACGCTCTTTAATTTGTAGTGAGATTATTCTCCTCAGTTCAAGCTGCATAATGATATTTTCCTCTCTAATATTTACAGCATAAAATAAACATGAATAATTGAATGTATGTTGAAAAAAATCAGAACAATTTAATACAAATGAATGTCTCATGAATCGATCATACTTTTAAAAAAAGTCAATAAGTTTTATTGCTGTTTTTTATTTTAAATGTGAAAAATGACGGATGCCACAGACTTTTTTGGCGGAGTAGGCCTATAGGTGGAATTTTCACATTAACTTCACGCAATATAACATGATTTTATTATCGTAATTTTGACTTTATTCTTAAAATATTATGACATTAATCTTATTTATTTAGTTATTTTTCAACATGGCACAAAAATGCTGCTGTATAGGCTACTTAATGCAAACACAATTTTGGCACAGCGGCCCCCCCCCCCCAAAAAAAAGAAAAAAAAAGTGAGGGGATATTTGAATTATCTGTTAATAAACTAATGTTTTCTGAGTCAGTGTTGCAAAAATGAATTTGACGAACCTGACTCGCCATCTCCTCATTGGACGTGCCTTTAGACAGAAATGCATCTTTACGGATTACATAATGAAAGAGTTTTTGTTTTCGATTTGAATTATTTCGTTTTAAAAAGTAATTTAAAGCATTCTATAGATATATTTATCATGTCTGTGAAGTGCTCCTGCTCAAGACAGAGATGACAGAAAGCGCATCCTGTTTGTTTTCCTTATTTTACAAAAGCACAACATTTTGTTGCTATTGTGAGTGCACATAAATAAAAGTAGACCCTTTGCAGTTCTGAATGATGTATACTCTTACCTTTATGAGCAAAAATGACGGCGTATTTTTAAGTTTCCACTGTTATTAAAAAATAAAAAATAAATGCAAGTGATCGCGCTGGCGCCTCCATGTCCTGCCAATCGCGCTTTAGCTTTCACTCTCCGCACAAATGATTGGATAACAGCGCTCACCTATCTAGGTTAAATGTTTAAATTAATACTGTGAAATGCATGAAGTGTTTTATGTCTGTTTATTTTAGGCAAGTCGTGTTGGTTTGAGAAAGCTAAATTGATCAAACATTATGCTCAACTCACTGTCTGCCACTGGCCGCTTTGGTCGTTCCTTTAAAAAACAAAAACTTGAATTTAACAAACATAAAATATTCCAAACATATTTCTAAATTAACTTTATAAAGAAACAAAAAGAAAAAATTACCACTTTTAAATTTAAAAACCAAAACTGACCTATTTTAATAGCTGTGTAATGGGGAAGAGAGAGAGAGAGAGAGAAAAAAAGACACGGGATCCAGACTCGGGCCGAGAATTCTCATAAGCTGGGTCGGGCCCATGCAGGGCTCTATTCGTTCCCTCCCTCAGTGGGCCCCCAAACTGCCCGGGCCCATATGCACCTGCATACCCTGCATACCCAGACGCTACGCCACTGGGTAGTCTCCTCCTTACAGCGCATCCTGGTGTTTGTAAGGTTCTCAAACCAAGTTTTTAAGATGTCAAAAAAAACAAACAGTTCTTTGAAAAATAAAGAACACCTCTCTACACCCCTGTGTTCTGTTCCATTTGGTTGTGTGGCATGTAGCTGTTTGATAGGAAGAACACGTCCTTATATATATACTAAAAACTAAATATAACTATATATACTAAAAACTAAAATCAGTTATTTTAAGTGATATAAATGAATTAATAAATTAATTTGTTATGTGTGGTGCTGTGTTTTGTGTGTTAAAGCTGCCGTGAAAAAAAATTATTTCCAGTAAAGGATCAATAAAGTATCAATTAATCGAATTTAGGCACTACAGCATTATGATGTACCGTATGAAAATAGATATTGATTTTAAGATTTGATAATGATTACATTTCACAGTGTTATTCAATTATTTATTTAATCTTCTTAAAAGTTAACTTTAAGTGTCATATTGAATATCCAATTAAATATGACATTACATATCCAACATAAAAAAGGTCTCTAATATTGGCCGATAACGGATTTGGAACTTGTATATTTTGAATATCTAATAATAACAGTCCCCTGGACAACAATGCAAACTGTACACCTCTAAAAGCCTAAACTTTTGTTCATCCTGTGGAAGCTTGTTAACACCCATTCTTAAATTGACTTCTGATCAAGGTTCCCATTATTATCGCTTGCTTTCAATAAAAAAATAAACATTTGTTTCTCAGATCCAATGTTTGTCTTCATATCTACTACACAGAGCACTAGTGTATGAATGCTTCTCTCTCCTCCCCTCTCTCTCTCTTCCCTGTCTGTGTTGATAGTGATCTCTGTGTCATTGACAGCCCGTCAGGACAGCATTAAAAGTGCAGGAGCGCGTACTGATGCAACATACAGTGTATGAGTGAGAAGCAGATAGAGGAGGATTGGGTTTCTAGATGTTATACTTATAGCTCTTCATGTCCATCATGACTTCATTGTACAGGGCTGACAGGGAGCTGCTTGGGAGGAAGCTTTCTATTACTGCTCTCATTACACACACTCATACGTGCTCACTCATGGTAAACATCGGAGGCCAGTAGGCTTCATTGTGTCTTTATGTTTAGTGCTGCAATAGAAACCCTGGAGACCCATTTGATGAGGTGATTTTTTTTCTCTTCACAGTAACTCCTTTCAACCGTTCATCTCCAATCTTGAACATGAACTACTGACTAAAAATACTGGATGAACATCTAGAGCTGGCACTTGAGTTAAAACCTTTCTATGATACCTCAGTGAAGTTGAAACCAGCTCCAAGACCAAGCCCAGCTTGGTCGAACAGGATCAGTGGTGGCCAATTTGAAATTGTAAATGAAGAATGAGAGGAATCGGTCAACAATCCTGTAATGTAGCATGAATACAGAACAGGTAAACAGAGATTGATCCATTCTGTGTCTGAATTGACCCTGAGGAAACAAAGATGTAGGAGTGGTAAACAAAAAATTTCTTCTGGTTCCATTTGTCATGGTTGACCTTTACAGGGATTTATAGGGAAGGAATGAAGAGCTTCTCTGTGAAGATCTCAAAGCAGGAGATCAGACTGAAAGGTCACAATGAAGAGATTCAAGTTTCATTAAACGCCTTTAACATCCCTGAATGAGAATGAAGGTGCCTGTAGAATGTAAAGGGATTAACAAAAAGTTAGTACTTTTACTAGTAGATTTTTTTAAGGATCAGAACTTTTCATCTTTAAGTAACCTCCTTGCTTTTTTGATTGAGTCAAGTCAAGTCAAGTCACCTTTATTTATATAGCGCTTTTAACAATACAGATTGTGTCAAAGCAACTGAACAGCATTAATTAGGAAAATAGTGTGTCAATAATGCAAAATGACAATAGTAAACACTAATTTTTCAGCTAAAGACAGTTCATCATTGAATTGACAGTTCAGTTTAGAACTTTGAAACATTTTTG